ATCAGTTATTTATATATATATTTGTTGTAATGTGCGGGATTTAGTATTTATTAAAAAAAAAAAGTTAAAAAAAAATTTAATTAAACATGAATATGTGATAAATTAAGGTATTATTTTATAATTTTTTTCTTTTTTTTTTTTTCTCTCAAGCTCCCCTTCCCCCATTGTTAGGCTTTTAATGGTATTGAAAAAAAAAAAAAAAATGTAAAGAAAATAAATGATAATGATGTCATATTATTATTATTTAATTGAATTTGATTTCAATAATCTATTTTTGTATTTCTATACGTTTGTTAAACAAATACAAAAATAAATTTCCATTTTTGTGATATATATATGTATTGCAAAATGTAAGTATTTAGTATGGCTGTAATATATTTAACTTTCACTACCATAATTAATTTATTAAAAATGTTTTTATCTTAATTTCGTGAACAATATTATGTATTATTCAATTACAATAAGGTTATATATATTTTACATAAAACGCATTTAAGGAAAAAAAAAAAAGATTTAATAATGATTAAGGCAAATATCCTAGTACTTCGTTCGTTGTCTCAACAAGTTGTAATGTGTTTAAAATTTTTTTTTTTTTTTTTTATTTTAATTTTAATTTCTTTAACATTGAAAATAAATTTTAATTAAATTTAAGTTTTGTTTTTACTCAAAATCAATTTTATTTATGATTAAATCATGGCTTGCCCTTTTCTTTAATGGATTACATCTCTTTAAAACATTATAATTATATAAAAAAAGAGACAAGCAAATATTATATATTAATAATTTATCAATATTTTTTTAATTGTTTGAAATATATTTATCGAAAATTTATCGATCAGTTCGAAAAGAATTTTTCTTTTAGAAAAATGCTTATCATTTTCAATCAATTCTAAAACATCTTTTAGAAAAATAATATTACTCATATGCATGGGAGAGATTCAATTGTATTAAATATTTAACGTTTTATTATTAACAAAATAAAAAAAAAAATTTTCTCATTTCTTTATTTATTTTTTTTATCTTTTTTCTATAAGAATTAATTTTCAACGCTTGTTAAAATTCTTTTATTCTTCTTATCCATTAAATTTTTTTTTTTTTTTTTTTTTTTTTTTTTTTTACTTTTTGAGGCCAAGGCGGCCATTTTGAACGTGAATGTATTCATACCCTTGTTTACATCTTGACACAAAGCATATGATTGCCAAAATCATTTTTATTTTTTTTTTTAAATAATAAAATCAATTATTCAGTAAAAATGAATTTAATTAAGAATTATTAATACGATGGATGGGATTATCATTAATATCAATCTTTTTTTCTCTCTCTCTCTCTGCAAGTGATCGAATTTTAATTACAAATAAAATTTAAGTATTACTTTTTCGTTAAAAAAAAAATACATGTTACAAATTTGAAATTATTGGATTTTATTACTCTATAACAGGCTTTAATAAAATTTTATTTGTTAGATCCTAGTGAGGCGTAAATTATGTGATCCAAATAACTAACTAACTAACTTCATTTAAAAAAAAATTTTGAAATGTTTTATTTATTTACAAAACTGGTATTAATTAATATCATGTTCGAGATATTGCATTGCACAATAAAAAAATCATATTATTATCATTATTATTAATTCAATTATTATTTTTTTTCTTTGTATTTATGTTATACATGTTGCAGAGTATAAGACCATAACTAATAATAATAATCGAATTGATGGTGTTCGATTAGAATCGAATCTCTTTATAATAAAATTACATTCAGACTTTTTTTTTTATCGATTTATTCATTTTAAAAGAAAAATAAAAAAAATTAAGTGAAAAACCATTGAAAGGTTGTTGGTTGTCAGTTGTTGGCTGTTGTTGTTGTTTTCATTCTTTCGAATAGTTCTATTAAAATAGAAAATGGTGGTTTCTTATTAAAATAATAATGCTTATGAAATTAATTTGCATTTTTTATTTATTTATTTTTTGTCGTTATTGTAAGGTGAAATATTATGTGTTATATAAAGTAATGCAGTTGTGAAAGTTACATGTCGATTAAAATAATTTACACTCGAACATATTTTCCTCTTTCCCCCCCCCTTCCCAATTATTTTTTTTGTTTGTTTGAGTCGAATTCAATTTTTTAATTTCTTGTACATTATTATAAATTTTTTTTTTATTACAATTTTTGGGCATTTTAATTCTTAATTATTTGTACAGGTTTAAAGAAAAATATAATTTTTCATGTTGTGAATGGAAATAACAATACTCGATAATTTTACAATTAATAAAAAATTTTTTTTGTTAGGGGGGGGTGTAAGTTTGATTTCGATTACACACAAAAATTTTCCTCTTTGATCATTTACTGTATCAAATTAATATATAATTTATTTTTTAATCAAATTTTTAATTAGTTTGAATAAAATGAATTATTATTACAAATTAATAAAAAAAAAATTAAAAATAATTATAATTTTTTTTTTTTTTTTTTCGAATAGGAATATTCAAGCTGTGGCTGCCTCGCAGATTTGCAAAAGGTAATACGTTTCACAGCTAATTAAAAGAAGGTAAAGTACAATTTACTATTATTATTATTATTATTAAGCTGCCATTATTTAAGATAAATGGGGGAGGGGAGGGGGGGGGAAATTCTTTATCATTTTTACCGCATTTTTTTAAAGAGTGATATAAGAATTTCAGTTTAGACAAAAATCTTGAGGAAATTGTTTTTTTTTTTTTTTTTTTCTTGTAAACAACCATGGTTGGACTTTTGTACTGTTGTTGTTGTTGTTGTTGCAAACGGTTACTAGTTACGGTACTTTTTTTTTTTATATAGTTTTAAGTAGACATGTTTAAATTATTATCATTTAGTCTCAGGTACTCAACTCATCTCATGTGTGTGTGTGTGTGTGCACATAAAATTTTTTGTTTTTTTTTTTTTTTTTTTTTTATTCAAATTCCTTCGTGAAATTTTTTTTTTTTTTTTAAAGTGCCATCTTGAAAATATGGTGAGAGGTTAATTTTTACTTTGTTTACCAAAAAAAAATTTGAAATAATTATTTTTAATAAATAAATCATTAATATATATATATATATAAATTTATGTGTCGAAAGCCGTGACCTACAACTCTTAATGTTATTGTCAAGGTTTCCTTTTTTTTTCTCTCTCTCTCTCTCTATCCTTGTCTTCTCCATTGTTAGGTATTACATTGAGGAGGGGGGAGGAGGAGGAGGAGGAGAAGGCAAATAAAATAAAATTGGTTACCTTGAGAGAGGAGAGGTACGCGATCAAACGCACACACTAATTGCCTTGACCAGCTACGTCAGAATGAATTGGTTGTTAATCTGATAATGTTGTTGAGTTCATTCCTTTGTTGTTGTTGTTGTGTTTGTTGTTGTTAACAATATATCTCACTCGTTTTGTTATACTATCATCAAATGCAGTCAAAAATTTTTTTTTTTTTTTTTTTTTATGTTGTTTAACTTGAATTGATGATGGCGATGATGATGATGATAATGATAATGAAACCTTAACAATTTAATTACGTTTTATTTGTATCATTCACGATTTTTTTCTTAGCTTTTTTGTTTTTTGTTTTGTTATGTTTTTTTGTTTTCAAAAAGACTGTCACTACTATTTGATGAAGGTCTTTTGGCCAGATTTAACTATATAAAAGTTCTTTGTTTTAATTTTTTTTTTTTTTTTGGATGTATTGCCACACTCTGAAAGTTGGTATATAGGATCTCTCTCGTTTTGGTTATTTTATGAATCATCATGAACATGGTTGTTACCCTGGTTTTACCATTTTTGATTGTCACTCGGTACTTTCATCAAATAAAAGTATTCGAATCGTTTGTTTGTTTGTTTGTTTGTTTTAAATTGTTGAGATTTTATCTTAACACAAAGTATGCTTTTGTATTTAAAATTATTAATATCAGAAAAAAAAAAAAAAAAACCTTCGGAATTTAGTAATTCAAAGCCAAAATGAGTTCAATCCAAATATTGTTCTTATGACGCAA